CAGTAAAAGCATCTCCCTTGTAATAGTGTGCTGTTAACCACGTGTGCCAATGCCCCGTGAGAAACATGGGAGCGGCGCACGCGCACCTGTCCGTACTGTCTGTCGCCTTCTACAGTTATTTGCATACTGTTACGTTATTTATGCATTGCGATAATGTTTATTGGTAGATAAGTATGTTTATAGAATATAATGTATCTTAGGACCAAAATGCTATCAAAATGTGGTCCTTCGTAACAAAAAGGTTTTTTTTTTATTTGTGTTAATAGTCAATTACAAAACTGCAACCATGACTAGAACCGGTTCACAAAAGTTTTTATGACCAACATGCGCGTAATATAAATCGTGTTTTTCCTGTCCGCGCGCCACATCACACACCAAAACGGTACTTTACATATGTATAAACAAAACGTCATATTTTTATCACGGGATAACGTTACGACATCAAAAATTCCTTATGTATGGAATTATAATAATATCCTTATCAGTCCATACGTCACGGAATTAATTACCTTGCATATATCCATTGACTAATTCACTTCATTTTAAAAGGAAATATGTTTCTGAATAAACACTTTGACGCATGCGCATAAGCAATAATCCCACGATTATTCGTTATGTGTGATGTGGCCTCAACAAACAAATTGTAAGAATCTCTATACGTCTAATACTTTACCTCAAGGCTGAAAGTTCAGAAGCCTTAAAACTTGACTGTTATTGTTGATTTGTTAAACAAATCGTTGTTTACAAACTGTAAGTGACGTAGTTAACGTACTTCATAAGTTTTCTTTTTACAATGTAAAATTTTAAAGAGAATTTATAGCGGTGTTTTCACAAAATATCTCACCGACACGTTTTGTTTTAAGTTTTATTGTAGACTTGTGTTTACACCTGAAACGTTGATTTATTTGCTAGTGAGGGGAAAATATTGCCGCTGTCAGACTAGATTTTTGAGTCAATATTTTTTGTCTTTCGATCCGTTGCTGTAAATGTGAAAATCAATGTAAACTTTAAGTCGATCTATCAAAACTGTTTACCAAAAAACAAACATGAAACCATTCAATTTTCAATACAAACGATTGAACTGTGTAAATCAATTTATAAATCTTAAATATCTAGTCTGAAGTTACAGAATACTAAAAGCAATTTCCAATAATACCATATACTTAGCTAGTTTATAAAAATGTAACGAAAATAGAACGAAAATCTAGCCTTTAAATCTCCAATATTTATGCTTAAGTCGGCTTATAATATCAACCTATTCAAAAAATATATATATACGATATTATATTACATTTTATGTCGGCAAGATATAATTGAAGTACCAAAGAAAAAGATGTGATGGAACCCTGAATAGATATTGACTTAGGATTTTATTTAAAACGTTGACTATTAACTAAAAAATAGGGTCGTTATAAGACATATTTCTTTGGAAACTTACTACGTTGGACCTTATAGTGATAGCTGATTTTCTTTTTACAATATTGTAATGTATTGTAATTTAATTGAAGGGCCTAAAATTGGAGGCTGTCAGTAGCATACTCGGGTTTATGTATGTATGTACCTACATATAAGACTGTGCTAACAAAATCCTTACTGATAACATTATAAAAATGAAAGTTTGTTTGTCATTCTTTCACGTCGCAACAGCCATTTATGTATAAAGATAACTAATAGGCGGGAGAATTGTATAGCCTACTTTATTACCTATAACCATGCGAGCAGACCCACGGGTTTTAAAGTTATGTTTTTTAGCTACCACTAGATCTAGTTGATATTCTACTATGATTTTATAAATAACATGTCTGTAACAGCGGAAAATTACATTCCTTATTTTGAAACATGAATAATTTAGAACATCAAACGCTACATGTTTTGATGTCGACGCTATTTAATATTAATATCAAAAATAAATGAAAAATGTTCCATTAAAGATGTTAAGATGTTTCGAAGAAACTCCCTAAGTATACATGGATAGGACACATTTCTACAAATATAAGTATATTTTCATATAATATATGATGTTGATAATAAGAAACACAACCTATACCGTCATATAACTAACTGCTCAACTAAAAAAAGTCAAATGAAAAGTTTTCAATTGGAAGCCATTTCAAAAGTTGTGAATGTCGAGCTGAGATTCCCTCTCTAAGGAAAGGTCATAGGGCAAACGTTCTGCGAAAATCTAAAAACTTTTACTTTCATTGAAATGCTGTAGCCAAAGTTTAGAAGAACATAGCTTTTTTTGAAGTAATTCCCATAACATATACCTACATAGGTAAAGTACAACTTATAATTCCGCAAAAAAAACTAAATAGTGCAATCAATTGACACTTGACTGTCATGGCGGCCGGAACAGACAAACCTTCCAATAACTATCAGCTCTGATTGTTTGCGTAAAGTACATTAACATTGCCTACATATAAAATTAATTTATACGTGTTTGCAACAGATAGCGGCCATAAATTATGTCCAGATAGTCCCCAACTGGTATTTAATCAGGTTGCCTACTCAACTTTGAACTGTGAATGTACTAGGCGCTTATGAGTAACTAGGAGACTGCTCGACCACTTCCATCTGATTGAAAACTTTCTAGGAATGTCCAACAGCTGTGTACTTCGTCGAGAGCGCCTAATGATTTTAAGAGTACCAATTGATTACGATTGAATTTAGCTCAACAACCTCGAAGTTATTTGAAGAACATTTAAAGGAATTTCCTTTAAACTAAACAGTAATTATCGGTTTCGCAGACAATAGAAAAGTTTTCAAGTTCCTTGATTACAGGATCTTATTATCTCAAAGCGTCTTACAATGGATACTATTTCCGATTGTAACTATCATCCGATCTTTTACGCTTTGTCAAAAGGCTCGCCATTTTTATATTGTAGGTTCTAGTTCGCCCATTAGTGTTTTAACAAAAACATTTCACAATGGTATCAGACTGGAATCCTGAGATGTCAGATAACTCAAAGCGAAGTATTTGCTTTGTTTGTTCAACAAATAGCAGTTAGGAGTTGTTTACACAGATTATTTTACGCCTGTACACTCGTCAAAGGTTGCTAGTGCGACGGTTTTCGCTCGTTTGTTGCTTGTATTTGTAGAGCACTTAGGTTCGTGTGTAATGGTATGGAAAATATCGTTATGTAAAGTTCTGAGCCTAGACTCAACAGAAAAATATTTCAATGAGAATCGTCCCTTAGGTACTCGTTTACTAAACACTAAACAGCCAAACTATAATGTTGCAAGATTGTCATTGGGTCTAGAATTACTGTTAATTGGCAACTTTTCATTATCATTTAAGATGTTATCATTATAATTATAAAGAAGTACCTATTTGTACAGTAGACATTTAAGAACACCTTTCTTCAAAATAAAGATTATGTTTGCTCTAAGATTAGCATACCTAATAAGTATTAATTAGACGAGGTAGGCCCAACTTCTGAGAATAATTATTAAGGTTGGTAAACAATTTCTATAGTAGCGAAGTTTCGATAGAATTGTTGATGTCGATAGGCACGTTTGTGTCGTTATCTAGTCAATTGTTAATTATTTACATACATTATTGACTATCAGAGTACCAGCGTACGTGAGGCGCCTTGTATAGGCCGCAGTATGAACGCAACTTTACTAATACACCACACTATCCTTAAAAAGGCTAATTTATGTCTTTTGTCTATTAAGGGAACGTTCAAATTGCTTATTGGAACCTTTAATTTAACTGTTAAATTTTGTTGTAGACCTTTTATTGATCTTAAAGTGTTTAATTGTATAAGTACCTACGTAATTAGAATTCGTTTCGTTGGTTGGCGTATCTAAAATCTATCGGGGACGTATGTTGAAATATCGTTGCTATTGTACTGTTGAATACAAATCAAAGAGAAATGTCTTTTAGATAGATACTTTGGAGGCTTTTTTTGAGGGGGGAAATCATACAATGTCTTTTGTCGCCTTGGTAGGCGTGACACTCCTTGACACTCCTTCACTCCTACTCCTGCTCTTCGAGCCGAAGCCCCGGCAACCCGTTAGGCCTTCCACGGCTCCGTATCGGACCTTTGAAAGCTTGATTGAATATCGTTATCTAGAAATAGGTTCTTATGATGACTTAAATGTGCGAAAAGGTGGAAAGTGAATAAATAGTGAAACAAAAGACCAGCTGTTTTAACATTGCAGATTCAAGATAATTTGCTCGAACAACTTGACACTTTTCATATGTATAGAAGATACACCAAGTTGTCATGTATACTAACTGAGATCTGACCACAGATTGAGAAATGGTCAAAAAGTAGTAGTAAATTAATTACCTTCATAGATTTGTTTCCATAAACTAAACACGTATTGCAATATTCGAGATACTGTAGGTACCATTTCTAGTAAATACAATAATGTTGCAGTATCCACATGGATACTCAACTTGTTTGCCAAAATACCTTCAGTTTGTTTAGAGGAGTGGTTAAACAAAATACTGACTGGCCTATGTGAAATCTATCATGTTCATGGTGAATTTAACAGTTTACTAGTCTCATTACTCTAGTCAAATTATATGCAAACAGAATTGAATACTTTAAAAACATGTTTCTTAAATGATTATGATACTAATTGTACTTAAGCAGGTGTTAACTATGATTTCATGTTGACTGTTGTGCCTAACAACATCCAATCAAAAGCAAAATATTTAACCAACGTACACATGCGACAAAACAGATTAAAAATAGCTACACGCGCCACTAGAAGATAATCCAAGACTGATTGATGTCTAATTTTTACTACAGACCAAAATTTGGTCCTTAATAAATTTCTTTGGGACAGGTAAAATATTTGTCAGCTATTAATAAAACCACACCTCCAATGTGAGAGCATGTGATAGTACTCACAAGTGAAAGACTGATAAGAAGATTTGCTAATAACATGTAACATCGCACAATATATTACGAAGATACAACATGTTTACGCATACCAAAATACACAATACTTAGTTAAACAAATAAATAAACAACACGAATTACCTTAAGCCATCGCCTTCTGGTCTCCGTCAAGAAATCGGAAAGCACCATCTTGAGATATCACTGATAAGAAGAATATTTCTTTTAGTAAATAAGTTACGAGAATACGCGTGCGGTCAAACTTTGCGCTGCGGGCGACGTGCGAGCTCTGTCACTGTCACTGAGGGAATGTCGGAGGGCCGCGAGCTACGAGCTACGAAGCTACGCGGTCCTTCGCGCCCCTCCCCCGCACTTACACACAACTCCCTCCGTATTCGCACGCTTCGCAAAGTTTGTGGTCCTTCGGGACTACGGACCTAAGGGCTTCTGCGGTTATGATTGCTTAATAATCGAATTAAAAAAGGCAAAAAATATAAGTACAATCAACTAAATTGATTCCGAAAAGGGGTTGGAGACAAAAGGCTTTTATTACATTTTTGGAGATGTCTGTCTGTTGTAATAGAATTAGTGGGACAATACAATTTGAAGTAAGTTGATTAGTTATTTTTGACATAGCTACTTTTTTCTCATACTAGTGTAGTTATAAAATTGAAATGAGATTTTTTACGGCGACCTAAGTTACTTCTTTTACGTCATGTTTTAGACATAACAACATCAGTGACCTTGTTGCATAAGGCTGCGCTTGCGATTACAAGATCAATAGAGCAATTCATGTAACAATGGCGTCAATTATCTCACTGAAAATATTTACCTACCAACAATAAATAATTACAGTCATCCTCTTGGTATGAAGATGAAGTTTAATTAATCTTAAATAATTAACCTTTATACGCTTCAGTTTTTAACCTTCATAGATAGCTAATTATTTTTGTACAAACACTTCAATCGATCCTTAAAAATGAAAAACAAATGAATACATAGTCGTGTCTATACTACATATAATTCCAGACTCCGTGCTACTACTGAGAATTTTCGAATCCGAGACCCCTTGCCCGGCAGTCGCACTTACGACCACTCGGCAAACGAGGCACTCTATACTCATTTTTTTTTAACTTCTTTTTAGTTTGTTTACTAACAAATTACTAACACTTGATGTTTTGTATTATTGTGTGAAGTACTAACAACCATACTAACAAATTCAATTTACTTATTTTACAAGTTTTTCTTTTATTTTTCTAAAAGTGTATGGACCTACGTCTGAAATAAAGATTATTATTATTATTATACTATCTATACTACATGTAGTGAAATATTTGTCACTTGAGCCATGCAAATAGTCACCACATACCATTACGAGTTTGTTACTCTTATCGCGATGTTATCTACAAACAAATTCACATTACTGCGAGTGAATGTGAAATGAGACAATAATATCATTTGAGAGAACTATGCTTCGGTACGAATGGGCTGGTTCAACCGGAGTGATACCACGGCTTCATAGAAAACAGGCATCGAACGCTTGCGTTAAGTGAAGTCATCGAGAGGCCGAATCGGTCGGTCACGCACTTGTTACTACTCTGATGTAGTAGAAGTCCATGGGCGGTGCCATTTACCATCAGCTGATCCATCTGTTCGTTTGCCGACCCTATCCTATAAAAAATGTTCGTAGTAAAGGCACGCGTCAAACTAGCGCGGGATCAACAAAGCACAATGTACTATTGTACTCATACTTAGGGTCGTAGGGAGATGGCGTACGGCTGTGGTCCCCACTCAATTCGTCGTGGTCCTAAGAGCCAAAATGTTTATTATTATGGATGTATTTTAATTTTGATAGTGGTTTGTGTATTGTTGGTTATGAATCGTGCACAATGCACTTCAGGTTTTTTTATACTGCTGACGTAAAAAACCGCAGAGTCAGGTGTATTGGTTTTCCTTACAAAATCATGAGTAGTTAAGTTTATGTAAATTATGTCTTGTACTTTAAAATCTTTATAAAAAATATATTTGGTTGCAGTATTTTGTTATTACTAAGGGTATTTACAGGTGAATGACGTACGAATTCAATTCGCAAAAAGACGCTGGGAAAGTACAATTGTAGACTTTAATTCCGGTTCAGTTTCTTTAAAACATTGCTGACGGACTAAGCAAATATCTATGTAATATGAGAAAACCAGACTAATAAATGGAGGACGTCTTTCGGCTGATGATGACAACGAGAAAACCAACCTATCTCTTTGAAATAGGTACCGATTTCCTTTGAAAATGGGGCATAAGAAAATCCAATACCGCAACAAAACAATACAATACTTAGTACAAAGAACTGACAACTTATGTTCCGGGAATCGAAGCAAAACGGTAAGAAAGTTTTACTCACGCGTCCAATAAGTCATACAACTTATAGGAAAAACTAATTATTGTAGCTAGGTCGTTGACCTCAAATTTATTGATTCACCTTTGTTAGTATTTATATTGTTAAATAAATATGCATGTCAAATCATTTAGGGGTGTTTTTCCGTCTTTTAGAATTTTTACACTATAAGCACGGAGTCTGGTTTTATCCGAAATGTTTCACTAGTCTGGAATAATGCCCGGTGTTTGGCAGTAAGCTCAACTCTCTTATAACATGGGACTTTTTTTGGGACCAGCTCCCTACAACCTTTTAGAACCGCTGCAACTCCTGTCCAGTATCTACAGTAGATACAACCATGAAAACACCGGAACACTGAACTCCGGCGCGTCCCAGGGACATGAATAACTGTCTTGGTTCCCGCAACGAAGTGAATCAGAAGATATTATAAGAGGAGAAGAAAAAAGACGATAGTTTCCAGTTTACAACATGGGACTTATCTTACTAGCTTCAGCCAGCGGGTTCAACCGTTCCATGGGGTAAAAAGTAGCCTACGTGTTATTCTTAACCATAGGCTACCCCTGTTTCAAATTTCATCTCGATCTCTTCAGCCACTTTGACGGGAAGGAGTAACTAACAAACAATCGAACAAACATACAGAATACTTTAATACTTTTGCATTTAGAATATTAGTAGGATAATGTAACATAACCCCAATCTCCCCAATCCCTAAATGCCCAACGATCCTCAAACTCTTAATCCCCAAACAGCCGGTAACGCACTTGTAACGCCTCTGGTGTTCCCGGTGTCCATGGGCGACGCCGATTGCTGACTATCAGGTGATCCGTCTGCTCGTTTACCGGCTTATGCCACAAAAAAAAAACATCACGCCTTTTATCCCCGAAGGGGAAGGCAGAGGTGCACATTATACCACTGTACCTTACAATATAACACCCACTTTTCACTATTTATGTTATGAGTGCCACGTAATAGGGGGTGAGTCTAATGCTATATACCGGGCACAATTCCAGACTCCATGCTACAACTGAGAATTTAAAAAAAAACATAGTAATACTTTGCCTGACCCGGGAATCGAACCCGAGACCCCCTGCCCGACAGTCGCACTTGCGATCACTCGGCCAGCGAGGCAGTGTAGTAGGATAATGTAACTGGTGAAAAATGGATTTTAGGTACATCGTATAAAGTGCACCTTTGCATACATTTTCTGGGATTGAAAGCTTTGACCTTGGGACGTGTACATGTATGTCCGTAAATACTCTTACATTAAAGATACACGCACATTTACAGAACTTAGTTTAAAATTATCATTAAAGTGAACCTAATTATAAACTTTTGCCACTTGTTTTTCTTACAAGATAACTTCTGGTAAGTAATCTCAGTGTCGAACCGCGTCCTATAGACAAAAGCCGAGATAGTTCAGAATATAGGCTTCTGAGTACACACTAACAAACAAAGCGGCTGTATGTTTATACTACGCTATGCTGCGGGATAACCCACGCATTATTATGTAAGGAGTTATTTAATTTGTGAACTTGGCCACTATTGTATAATACTACATAACATAACGCCTTTTGTTCTCGAAGGGGTTTTCAGAGCAGCGCATTACAGCACTTAATGCCACTGCAGAATGTAACACCCACTTTTCACTATATATCCACGTAATAGGGGATGAGCTTATTGCCATATACCGGGCACAATTCCAGACTTTGTGCTACTACTGAGATTTTTTTAAAAACCCTGTAGTACTTTGCCCGACCCGGGAATCGAACCCGAGACCCTTTGGTCAGCAGTGATACTTGTGGCCACTAGGCGAACGAGGGAATTTACTAAGATTGTAATATTGTCGAAAAGTGGCAATAGTTGTATGGGCACTTAATAATGGAAGTGGTGGCGAGGCCAACAAATCGTAGTGATAAGCAATTGGGCCAAGGATACCATTTACACTGAGAAGGTACAGGTGCATTCAAGGATACTGCTAATCCCATATTTCGATATTAATACAAGTTATCTTTATGTAGGATACAAGTTCAGTACCCAGATTAGCTGTTAGAAATATTGGATTTACGCTCGTGTACACCAACCTTCCTTAAATTGTATGGAACCCCTTAATTAAGAAAGGATTTGCACTTGACGATATTTTAGTTCCTAAGTGTCACTTAACGCTCCTAACTTAATCCTTTACATATACATAGGTTAGGTTAGCACCTACGTTACTTAACTTAACTAAAAGTTTCTTAGCGTTACGTTAAGTGATGGTGTAAGGGTGGATGGTGAATACTGAATAGAAATTTCCAATAGCATTTCCAAAATTATTTATTTACTTTCCTTTAGCAAACCTACAACATTTGATATACGTACTTACTATTCATGTCTACTATCGGCCAATTAACACAATAAATTGATTGTAGGCCTGTACACAATTTATTAACTAAATGAACAATGAATGATAACTAATTTATCAGCATACCGACCAACACAATAACAAAACAATATAAAAATACCAAATCAGCAAGTTGCACGCGTCCGCCATTTTATTATCAAATGCGCAAACGCATTGTTTTACCCCAACTAGGGGTCGTTCTCAAAAAAGTGGCTCAGATCGAATTAATTTGTCAATTTCAAAAAATATTTCAAATGTCGAGTTTTTTTAATATAAATCTATTGGCAGTGTTTTACTGAAACAGAATTAATGAAAGGGAAGCAGATTAACTGGAAATTGAGTGAAATAGAGCCTTCCAAAAAAGTGACCTCACAGGTTAAAGAGGTTTTGTACAGGTTATTGAGAAAACGATATCAGGTTAAATAGAAATAGACAGGTTACAGAAAAAAGCAATGCAATTATGCAAAATCTGCGTTTATTTTATCATATAAACTAACAAATATAACGGTTTTAATAATAATAA